TAAATAGTTTAGTAATTTTAATTTTAATTTATACATCATTTTTTTTAATTTTAATCCTTATATATTTAATAAATTATTATTTTTAGTATATTTTATAAATGTGATCAAATCAAGGAGACATTTAACAATTTTTTAATGGATCAAATCAATAGTAAAATTTAAAAATAGAAAATTTAAATTGCAAATAAATAAAAAAATAATTTAAAATTCTAAAATAGTCCTCATCTAATTAAACCTAAAAAATTGTTATAAACTATAATATCACAATATAAATTTAATAATAAATATTAGTTTCTAATTATTTCTGACAAGGTTTCAATGTAACAAATACATAATCCTCCTCATCGAATTAAATTTGAGCTTTTAATTATTTTTATTTTTTTGATTTTAAATATAAAATTTGTGTACACCAACTTTAAAGTAATAATTGATAAGAGTCATTCATTCATAACCATGATATTATATCAATTTTTAGTAAAGATAATTCTTTATAATTTATTAACTTAATTAATAAGTTTGAAGAATTATTTGATAAATATAAAACAAAATGAATTTGTAAGTATTTAAAGTTAATTTTTTTTAAAATTATTTAAAATAGTATTTAACTTTTTAAAAATTAACTATTAATATTTTTACTATATTTTTATTTTTATTTTTTATGAAAAAGATAAGTTATTTATTATACAATTAAAATCTAATGTGTATATATAAATTTTATTATCGTTTATTCTTTTCATATTTATAACAGTTTCGTTAATTTATTTATTTTTCTTATTTGTTCTCCTATCTTTTCTATCTATCTATATATCTATCTATCTATATATATATATATTAAAAGTATATATAATTGATAATATTTAATATATAAATATATAATACTTATTTTTAATATTATATTAATATAATAATATATTATTTTAAATCATTTAATATAAATTAATTATTTAAATAATTAATTTATTAAATAATTTTAATTTTATAAATTACTTATACACCATGTACTTCTGCCAGCTTCACAACCCCTCCGGGTTTCCCTCTCTCTGTGTATCTATATTACTTACATCATATTTTCGCTACTTTACAGATTTCTGGTAAGCTTCGACCCGATGAAATTTTAGTATTTTAAATAAGAATTAATTTCATATTTAGAAATTAAATATAAAAATTAAGAATTTAAAGTAGACAGTTTTTTTTTTGTCAACAAATTAGTGGACATATTAATATAATTTAGTTTCCAAACTAAGCCCTCCATAGACTTTATTTCCACTCTCAAATCAAAATTAATTCTGCATATAAATGCAATAATGACATTTTATGATTTAATTAAGAATTTTTTTAATTTAAATATCAATTATTTTAATAAATATCCAATAGCACATGAATTTACAATAAACAAATACTTAATTCATGAAGATAAAAAAATAATTATATGTTATAAATTGATAATTTATTTTATAAATATTTATAATATTAAATGATCAAATCAATGTATTATAAAATAAATAAATAGCCACGTCAACTTTTGTAGATAAAAATAAGTACTCTGTTAACATAAATTTTAAAATAAATAAAAATATAAAAAAATTAACGATAAATGCATTTGAAAAAGAGACTTATATTTTGTATTTAAGATAAAAAAAAATTAGTTATTTTTTATAAATTTAACCGGTAGTACTATTATAACATACATCTTATTAAATATTTTAAATTACGATTGAAAATATGAATGAAATATTTTTATAATTTTGATATAATAAATATTATATTTTAAATAACTTCTATATATTTATTTTTTAACTTCTCAAAGCATGTTCTACGCACGTTAAAAAAAAAACCATTTAAACATACCGTACATCATCCAGGGAACCACAAGAGCAAATATCAGTTAATTATTTAGCTTATGTATTGAAACTAAAACTGCAAAAGAAGAAAAAAAGTGTCATAAATGGATATTCCTCTGCGACATCAAAGTCTCAAACATAGATAGAAGGGATTTGGACAGTGATTAATGGCAATAATTGATAAGCTTAAACGGTGAAGAGGGGTCTCTGATGATCGGTTATTTTTGCCTCCAAGAGAGGAATAGGATCCATAGACTTTCTGCGTGCATGTGTCTCTATGAATGAAGGTACCACTGCAACGGGTGCGTTTATGTCTAACACTGTGGCTATGTAATACAATATTTATTCCTATCCGTAGGCGGTAAATGCATGGCAATCAATATTGTGGGCCATGTCTTTAACGCGTAAATAGGCACCATTTTTATCACAATGGACAAAATTGTAGGGTATACACAAGTCAAAATAGCTGCACCATGATGTACAAGATTGGCATCTGCCAAATGCATTATTTGGAATATAACAGCACCCTGTAAACCTTCCCCTTTTGAATATCTTCTTGCATTCTTCTTTCATCATTTTTCATTTTTTTCTTGACATTATTTTGCTTTTACAGTGTATTCATACAAAGTAGTATACAAGAAGGGTTTTATTTTGTCTTTTATTTTCTTTAACGTAAAATTTAATTTCGTGCATCTGTTACATTAATATTATTACTTGAACCAATTCATTAGCGTTAATAAAGTAGAAATATATGATTGTTTTTCTTTTGTTTTGCGTGTCGTTTCTTTTGCCCAGAATGTGCAAGTGTGATTAACGCATGAACATAAATGTGAATCAGAGACATATTAATAAACTTAAACAATGTATAATTATAGCAAGTGCAACTTGCAAATGACCTACTAATATAACACTACCAGTACAATAAATGCAAGCATGATTTGCATTAGTAAATCATATATACTTAGTTAAATATAATAATAGATTTAAAAATTCTTCAAAAAATTATATTCTAAAATTATTTTTTAGGGCCAAAATACATGGATATTTAATTCTGGAAGTTATGTTTTGAGATTTCTTTTACTCTAACCAATGAAGCAGTTTTTTATTCCTTGAAATTATCATCACCAAATAGTTTATTTCTTAACATTATAAAAAAATAATTTAATTTTATCTTTGACAGTTACCAATTAATTTGGCTTTTGAATTTACTATAAACGGTGCCTAAATTTGATAACCGTAAGTCAATTAAGTCATGAACATTAGAGACCAAATGATTAATGTATACCAAAATTTGAGACAAATAATTGATAGTTGTATAAATTAGATATTAAAATTATAGACTCTTAATATTATCGACTGAAATAAGTAACGGCAAGAACTAATTATTTTCGTAATTTTTGGAATGTATAATGATTCTAATTATATAAACTAGGCTTACTGATTTGCACTTATCACTTTGATTTTATGCTTTATTTGTGAATAAAAAACAAGGATAATCCAATTAACACACTGCTCTTTTTCTTTGTAACATTCTTTTCAAAATTATTTTCATTTTTTTTTATTCTTAAAGAAAGAAAATATTAATATATCACTCGCAAGAACAGATAAAATAATGCTGCTTCTAAGTAGAAATATAGAAATCGTAGTAAAACATTTTTTACCAAAGAAATTACAAACAAAATAAATAAAACAATATGGGGCGGGAGATTATGATGACAACAAGTTCTATATTAATTTATGAATGGTGATGATTAACACGTAGAAATAGTATTGTGTGGTTTAACTTACATTGACTATTACATTTTTAATAACTCGTCGAAAAATAATATAGTGTGTATATAATATATATACAAATAGGACAAAATAAGTTAAAGAATTTGAAAGAGAGAACTTGACCAATGTGTAAGTTCAAAAGAAATTATATATCCTCTATCCGAATGAATTTGTATATAACTAATTGATCCATGTAACCAGAAGGTTTTAATTTACACTTGTCAATGTAAAGCTCAAATTAAAAATCATAAAACATTTTAATATCAAACCAATAAAAATAAAGAGTAGAATTGGATACCCACCATTCATATGAAAATACTGATCGTACTATTCCAATTGAAAATTCCTCCCTTGTAGCATCTATATATATATATATATATATATATATATATATATCAGATGTACATATAAAATATACCAAAAGCAATGTACAAAAACAATATACCAAAAGCATAATATAATCTCTTCATTCCATTACTTTTAAATCTGATCACCATATGCTTTTTTTTTTCTTGACCTAGGTTTTTATGCAATCTGCAGTCTAAAATTACCATAATCAACCCATATTCCCTTTTTATTTCTTCGGTCCATAGCTTTTATTCTTTTGACATGTACATTATTTTTTTAGTTCAAAAAGTGATTACCATTGATGGTGATGAAGTTGAAAAGCTTAACAAAACCAAATTAATGGAATATCGCAAAGATTTACCCACTAGATTATGTTGAAGATGAACCTTCATCTCTTTCGTAGTACTGACACTCATGAAGAGAAGAACATATCTTTGTGTTTCACAGCAAAAAATACAGTTACAGTGTGCAGCGTTTGTATGCTCTACACAATGAGGTTACTCACACCTCAAAAGATTCCTCCTGGTGGACCCTCCTTCAAGGGTTTATGACTCCATGTGTGATGCTGGCATTTTCTGCTACGGGAAGGGCCCTGTTACAACACAAAGGGTTGGGTCACTGTCCCTACAATTTCAGCCCCTTTTTATTTTATTTTCTTCCATTTCTTATTTTATTTCCAGCATTTTAAAAAATATTTTATTTCCCATTTTTCCTGCCCCACAATTTTACTTTTCCATTTTTATGATTTCATACTTCACAAGCAAAACTAGTAATAATCTTTATCCTCTTCTCTCCTTGTATACGAATTGCTAATGAGTTAGTACAAAAGGAGGGGAAAAAACAACCAGAATAATCACCAAAACAAGATAACACAATGAAAGAGGATAAGGAAAAGAAATTATCGATAACGCTTGAAGAGTAACAAAATTGAGAATGGAAAATTCAACAAAAGAAATTGAAGAGGAAGAAGAAGCCACTCCCCCCCCCCCCCCCCCCCCCAAAAAAAATAATAATAAAAATAAACGTTTCTCCCATTTACACGAACATGAATATGAAAATTTAATTAAAAAAATCTAGTACAATAACATTAGTCAAGGTTTCTTTTTTATTCATTTCTGTTGAACTTCAAATCTGAACCTTCTCTATCTTAGCTTCACCTCTCCCTGATCAACTTATTTATTTAGCTCAAAAAATAATTAATTATTTTTTAAATATAAAAAAAAAACAACATATAATCTTACTGACTATATGCTATTGTACCAAGTACTTCCAATCCAGATTCCCCACCCAACTAGCTACCCCTATACCCATGTGTCATTCTGCATTATGTGTATATTCAAAATCTTCAACACAACCCCACCGCTATTCACGATTGTTGTTGTTAATACCATCACCACCGCTAAATTCCACCCTATATGAGCACTTTAATTTCCGACAACTCATGCACTCTTTTGACCCAAGCTCACCCTCCATGCTCTAATTGATGCATTCTTGTTTGGTTAATATTTATTTATCTCACTCGGCAGATGCATCAGCTGAAGCTGGCTTACTCGCTACTATTTCATAATTATCACCTCCATCATCATCTTCATCCTCATCATCATCTCCAATTTCCTTGTCCATTTCTTCATCCTCATCCTCCTCATTGTGGTGCTGCAGGTCCATGGGGTCATTTTGGGCATCTTCCATGGTTACCTCCGGCACCGCCGCATGCTGGGGAGGCCATTGCTGCTCCGGGGGCACCATAAGTGGTGCCATCATGCTCTCAGGCTTCATTTGGCCCTCTCCCTTGTTTTTCTCCCTGTATAGAGCTTCCAACAAGTGAAAATAGGGACAAGTTTTGGAATCTTCCGGCCTCTTCTTGTTGCTTTCCTTCACTTTCTTGAAGTATTTGTTGATGTTCTCCCACTTCTCTTTGCATCTTTTAGCACTCCGGTTGTACCCCATTTTCTTCATCAACGTTGAGATCTCCTCCCATAGTGGCCCTTTTGGCCCACTTTCTTGGTACTTTGTTTCCAGGCTCGTTCTCAGATTTATCAGTTCCTGAACCTCCACTTTTGGCCACCTTGAAGAGCTCGTTCCCATCATCAAATTCTCACCGTTGTTATCAGCTTTTACAATTTCCACATTGGTCACCACTTGTTGTTGCTGCTGATGCACCTGATGATGTTGTTGTTGTGGGGCCAAAGACTGCGCTGGTGGGGCCTCAGGAATCGCTGTTGTTTGTGTTTGTTGTACTGTTGTTGGTGCTGTAGTTGCTTGTTGAACTGGTGGAACAATGTTGATGTTGTTGTTGTTATTCAATGCTGGCTCAAGATTAATTTGTTGCTGCTGTTGTTCAGCTATCTTTTGTAAAAATGCCATAACAGCAGCGTCTTTTGCTGCAGCTATGGACCTCTCGTGTGCAAGAATTTCCCTTTCCCTGTTGATTCTTTGCATCTCTTGCATTCTCCATGCTTCTTCTCTTGCCACTCTCTCATGTTCTCTTTTCTCTATGGCTTCCAAGAACCTCCTTTGTAGCTCCTCTTGCTTCTCTATCACTTCCTTCATTAGTCTCTCAAAGAAGTCCTTCCACTTCCTCTTTCTCTTGCGCCTTGTTCCCCCTCCTTCCAGTGTTTCCTCCGAGGAAGTTGAGGAAGAACTTGAATTGGACAATAGATCAGTGGGGATATTGGGAAATGAAGATGGGTTAATGGTGTTTGGAGGGTTCTTACTAGTAGGGTTTGGTGTTGGGGTTGTGAAATATGTAGGGTTTGATGATGGGTATGAAGGGGTTGTGATGTTTATTGTTGATGGGATTATGTTGAGAATGCCTTGAGACACAGCCATAGGGAGTGTAGTTGTTGATGCAATAGTAGTGGTGTTATTAGCCACTGGTTGCAATGGCACTGTTGTGGTTGGAAGCGGCAATGATGATGCACTTGATGCCACTATTGATACTGGTGTTGCAGGTAGTGCTATTGTTTGTAGTGGTGGTTTTGAAGTTGGTGTTGGTGATTGGATTGCAGGATTGTTTTCAAGGGCTTCTAATTGATCAAAAAACCGATATGTTTTGCCTTCTGATTTCCCACTTCTTCCTTCCTTGGTTCTCTTGTGGTACTTGTAAACATTCTCAAATTTCTCTTTGCACTTCTTGGCATTTCTGTGGTACCCAAGCTCTGCCAGCTTCCTGATAATGATAACCAAAGTGGCCGAAAAAAAGACAAAGTGAAAAAAAACAAGTTTTCTGGCTTTATCTTATCGCATCAAATTCATAGGATAATGGCAACGGAAGCATAAGATAATAAACAAAAACAAAATATCATAAAAATTCAAGTACCCAAGAACGGAAATGGAGGGGAAAGGATGTAACTGAATAGCTTAAAATAAGGGAAAGGAGAAAATATATGTAGAATGCCCAAAATGAAGTAATTGAAGTGAAGTTTTTAATTAACAACTAATACCATGAATTGTTGAACGGAAATAATCTTTCCCATTGAAAACGCATGAACCCCAAGTATTGTGCAATCTACCTTCATTCATTTTAGTGGGTAACTGAAATAAGGGAGGAAAAAAATGTTGCTTTTGAAGACTCAATTCAAGTTGGTAACTTATTTGGAAAATTGAACATGTATCAAAATGAAATGTCAGAAAAGCATATCACATATCCAACCCACAGATGCCGCACCCATATATCAAAATTATTTAATAAACACAGTTTATGTCTAAAACTTTAAATTCTATGGAAGAAAAAAACACGGAGGGAAGCAGCAGAATTTAAGATTAAAAAAAGCTGTACAAGGAAACAAATCCAAATGAAAGAGGAAAGAGAAAAGAGAGAGAAGAAGGAACCATAGAAAAGAAATAGAATTGAAGTGAAAGAATGAAACACATTCCCAACTCCGAAGTGATTAGAGAACAAAACTTGAACAAGAATTGATAGGTTTCAGATCTCTAAGTAACTGAAACTGGCATTCAATTAAGGTGATGAATGAATAATAATAATAAAAAAAAAAAAAGGAACACAAAAAAGTAAAAATTCACATATAATTAAAACCAAAATCAATGACTCACCTAGAAACCTCTTCCCACAAGGGACCCTTAACACTTGCATCTCTAAAAGCCACGTCCATATCTGACCGTATCTTCAACAAGGCCAGAGTCTCTTGCCTTGGCCACCTATTGCCGCCAAAGCTCTTGTCACCTTCTTCTCCTCTACCCCTTTCATCATCCCCTGAATTTGATCCACCACCACCACCTGCTGCCACGTCAGCACCTTCATGAGCTCCTCCTGATGCAGCAGCAACAGCAGAACCTGCCACTGCATCTCCAGAGCTTCCTCCTCCTGTTCCCAACACTGCTGAGTCCCCCAGCATAGGACTCTTCTCTCTCTCTTTCTCTTTTTCCTGTAGTCTCTATCTATCTATCTATCTCTCTCTCTCTTGAAAAAACAGCACAGAACCTAAGCAATTACAGAGGAGAAAAAAAAATATAAGGTGGGGAAAAAAAGGAAGAGGAGAAGAAAAAGGGTGGTGAATTCTTTGATGGGTTTTATCATAGATGTGTGTATGAACGTGTACGTTTGGTGAATTTATTAATTTATTTGGGTGGGATCTGCCTGGTAATCTCAACAAGTTATTTAATTTATTTATTTTATTATATATGTATATATATATCAATAATAATAACAATAGTAATAAATATTTCTTTTTTATTTTACTTTTTTGGTTGGTTTTATTTGAGGTGGAAATGGAATCCTAGATATTTCTTATTTTATTTTTTAAAATTTTATAAAGGTATCATCTGGGGGAAAGTAAATTACTAAATTCATGCACCTGGGTTTTCTCTCTGTAATAATAAAGTGGCACAGAAAGATATATAATATATATATATACACACACAGATATTTATTATTTATTATTTACGCTCAGAGAAAATAAACATTGATTAACTGTGGCAGAGTTTTTTTGACAGATGCACAAAGTGACGATGGAAATAATAACTTGGTTTTTGTCTGTGCAGCTAAATTTAGTTAAAGGGCCGACCCACGTAGGTCAGCTTTTCCTTTTTCTTTCAATTTTTTTTTTTACCTTTGAAATCTTTTTCTTATATTTTTATTTATTTATTTTACTTTCCTTAGGGTGAAGATGAAGATTATCTTTAGTCCTTACACATACTTTTTGTTTGGTGATATTTTTGGTTTTTTTTGGATTTCAATGGCAGTTGGCCACGTTGTGCTGAAATGACCAAACAGGGCATAAGCATGGTTCTTGAATTGACTTGAATCATTGAAGTTAATCTATGATGTGCCTTTGTTTATTTAGACAAGTAAATTTTGAAAAGAAAATAAAAATTGTACATGGTGGTAGTGCACTCTATAAATAATATTAAATTAAAATAATTTTTAAAAAAATTATAATAACTAAATTTATTTATTATATTAAATATGATTATATTAAAGAAATATTTATTTAATTAAAAAATTTAAAATAAATGTTAAAATTAAGATTAAATTAACAATAAAATAAAATTAAAAATTTATTTAATATAAGAACAAAATTATTTTTAAAAAATTTCCAATTTAATATAATTTTTAGAAGCATTTTAATTTTAGAATAAAAATTATAATTAATATCAAATGTGATATGAGGTTGTTGCCTTGTATTTACTAGCTTTTCATTTTATTTTTACAAAATTTATGTATGTGATATTCAAATTATTCTTAATTTATTTAATACATTTAATTTATATGCATAATACGGTGTGAAAACTGAACAATTTTCCTTTGTAAAGATAATTCAAAGAATAGAAGAAACCGTGTACTGTGTGGTACTCTACATGTGGCCTTTGGGTCCTACCTTGATGGTGACCATCACAATTTTGACAAATTATCCTTAATTGACAAAAAGGGTATTTTAAAATACCTCCTGTTATAATGAAAATTTAAAGAAGAAACTTGTTGAAGGAATGATATAACAGACATTAATTTATTGTATTTTCCTGTTAATAAAAATATGAGAGTATAAGGGAATCCTTACTGTTTTAGAATTATGATATAACTTAATTTTGGTAAATAAATTCCAATCAAACAGTGCAATAGATTGATGAATAACTTATTCAAATAATGTCTATTTTCTTCTTAATTAACATTTTATTTTAATTTTTATGCCTAATTTTTTAATTAATATTTTTTATATGATCTTTGTAGTTAACAAGACATTTTATTTGATTAAAATTTATTTTATTAATTAAAAATTTATTAATTTTTATATTAAGAATAAGAATATACTCTTATGATAAAATATTCAAAAGAATTATTCTTTTTCACACTTTGTCAGTTATACATTTTAAGATTAAAATTATCTGCAAATAATATGTAAATTATACTCTCCCATTGTAATAGTTTTATTTTTTACGTTCTTTATTAATTTCTTCTAGATTATAAAAATTAAAATTATCATTTAACCTTTTCTTATTACTTTATATAAATTTTAACATTTATAAAATTTATATTTCTTACCTTATATAAACATTTATTTTTATAAATATTTATGTATATTTTGATATTTTATATTTGTAAATTTATTTTTAAGTTATTAAATTACATATTTATTTTGAAACAAAAAATATGTGCATTACACTGACTATTAAACTAGTTTTAATAAAAAAAAACAACGTTATCATTATTATGTTAGTTATTAGCTAAAAGTGATTTTGACCCAATTTAGATAAATTTTAATAAAATTCTTCATAAAATAAAATAAAAATTATCTCATAAATTAGAAATAAATTATATTTTTATTTTTAAAATGTTTTTATTTAAATTCTTTAAATTTTCAAAAACAAACTATTTTTAACTTATAAAAAAATTATTCATTTTTATATTAATTATTTTATTATAAAAACTTTTTTAAAAGTTTACTTTAAATAAGTCTTTATCATTTTTGTACTTATTATTTTTAGATAATTTCTTCTTTATCCATTCAATTGCTAAAAGCCTTACTTACTTTACTTTTCTCACATTAAAAAATATATATCAAAAATAATAAAAATAAATAAATGACATAACATTCATTATTTTATAAAATAATAGTTTTTTAATTTTTTGAGAATAATTTTTAAAATGTATTATTTTTATAATAAATTATATATGAATACAAGTAAAATTATAAATTATTATCCTAATTTGAAGATGATAAAATCTTAAAAAATTAAAATATAAAAATCATTTTTTTGAGCATTTACATGATTAGTAAATTTCAAATTTTATTATATTTAGTTATGATGTCTTTATTTATTATTTTCTGGCGTGGTTACTTTGTCAAACACACCTCATATATTTGTTCTTTGAATAAGATTAGTTTTAAAAAATATACATAACTATAAATAAAAAAAGAAAATGTTAGAATAAACAGAAAGTCATGTAATTGTCATAAAGTAGAAAATCAATTGGCAATGTAAACCTGAATTTACATTGCTAATCATTATTTATATACAAATTATATATCTTAACTTTCAAATGAAAGACACACGAAAAAAAATTAAAAGAAAGTACTTTTAAGAGAATTTTAAATTAAAATAACTTTAGGAGTTAATTATTTCCCCAATTATGTCATATATTTTTTTCATCGAGAATTCAATTTTTAAAATTAATATTAATTTAAAATATATTTTTAATCTGAATGTTTTTATATCTTTAATTTATTATTAATGAATACAATAAAACATTTATTATCAATAATTGAAATATTTATTTTAAACTCGTAAAATTAAACTTAGAATTTAATTTAAAAATTTATTAAAATTTAATAATACGTGTATAATACGTAAAAAAAATCTCACTAATTTTATATAAATGATTTAAATCTCAATTTGTGAATAAGGACAGACACTGCAAATGCATTTATCAAGAATTAAAACTAACCAAATGAATTGTCTTAGTAAGATTTAATTTAATATTTCTTTAAATGAGGAGTGAACAAAATTGAAAGATATGTTTTTCACGTACTTTTTATGTTAAATTTGCTGATAAATTATCTACCTGATATTAAACTTGTCCAAAAGTTGAAGAAAATGTTAAATAAAACTAGTTTGATGCAGGTGATGTTATTAGGCCTAGCCATTTATGAACAGAAGTTAATGGTGGCCAATCCTGTTGGATTCGTAACCTACCGTTATAAATGGCACCAAAATTTCGATGGCAGTAACTGCGTCCACCATCCAAGGAAAATTATTGGATTGTTAAACCTAAAATTATATATTTATAAGTAAAAGACATGTAAAATGAAAAATATAATTTATTCATGTTAATTTTAATTCTCATATTTTATAAATTTTAAATTGATTAATAACTCTTTATTTTATCATTTTTTACACCGGAATAACCAATACAAAATGTAATTTTTATATTTGATTCAAACTATTTTTTACATTGGTTTTAAAGTTAAACTGATGTAAAATTTATAATCTTTTAGATGAGTTAATTTTTTAATAATAAAAATATATTAATTAAACTTTAATTAATTTAAAACTAACACCTATAAATTATCTTAATATATTTATTTTTACAAAAATTATGAAGCATAAAAATATTAAAAAATAAAAAAATAGAGTAAAATATTATAATATTAAAAAAAATTAGTCCAAACCCCTCTTTATATAAATTTATATTTTATTTAAAAATTATGATTATAACTTTTTAAATTAGTTATTAAATAATTAATATTAAAATTATTTTTTAAACTAATATTAAAAGAAATTTAAATAGAATTTTTTACTTTTCATAACCGATATAAAATTAAAATTAAAATTAAAATATAAGATTATAGAAACGCACGTCAATAAAATAAAATAAATTAAAGATAGTGAAAACAAATTCTTATTTATATTTTTAAATTTTTGTTTGTATTTTTAGATATATTATAAAAAAAACATAAACTTTTACTTATATTCAAGTACTTTAATAATTTTTTTGTTTTATTTTTTTATGATTTTTTTTTATGCATAACATTTATGAACATTAAATATTTTTTAAATGAAACATTAATTTAATTTTTTTATATATAAACCTAGTAAAGATAAAATTTCCGGTAAATATTATAAATATTTACGTTATTAATAAGAAACATTGACATTATTAATAATATTTACAAATATTAATACTATTAAAAAATAAATTTTATTAACGTCAGCTTTTAAAATTGAATTTAAATATTCATAAATAAAATTTTTTTATAAAAAATACACAGTTATTATATTAAAATTATAAAAAATATAATAATTATTTTTTAATAAAATTTTACTATTATTAGTTACCTTAAGAACTAAAATCAATAAAACTTTAAAAAAATTATGATCAACTATCACACATCCTGTAAAAAAATATTTACTTAAAAAAATCCTAATTTATTATATAAATATTAAATATCATTTTGAACTCACCTTAAAAAGTTACAAACTAATGAAAGTTTATAAGTTTTGAGGTACGTAACGAGAAGTGTGGAACAAGAGTTAAGAGCTGATACAGAGAGTAATGACCGATTCCACATT